GGGGGCCGGGGGGGCGCGGGGCGGCGGCGGCGGCGGCGGCGTTGGGGGCGCCATGGCGGCGCCGGGTGGCGGGCCCTGAGCGCCGCGGCGGGCGCGCACCATGAACTCGTGGGACGCGGGCCTGGCGGGGCTGCTGGTGGGCACGATGGGCGTCTCGCTGCTGTCCAACGCGCTGGTGCTGCTGTGCCTGCTGCACAGCGCCGACATCCGCCGCCAGGCGCCGGCGCTCTTCACCCTCAACCTCACGTGCGGCAACCTGCTGTGCACCGTGCTCAACATGCCGCTCACGCTGGCCGGCGTCGTGGCGCAGCGGCAGCCCGCCGGGGACCGCCTGTGCCGCCTGGCCGCCTTCCTCGACACCTTCCTGGCCACCAACTCCATGCTCAGCATGGCGGCGCTCAGCATCGACCGCTGGGTGGCCGTGGTCTTCCCGCTGAGCTACCGCGCCAAGATGCGCCTCCGCGACGCCGCGCTCATGGTGGCCTACACGTGGCTGCACGCGCTCGCCTTCCCCGCCGCCGCGCTCGCCCTGTCCTGGCTCGGCTTCCACCAGCTGTACGCGTCGTGCACGCTGTGCAGCCGGCGGCCGGACGAGCGCCTGCGCTTCGCGGTCTTCACGGGCGCCTTCCACGCGCTCAGCTTCCTGCTGTCCTTCGTCGTGCTCTGCTGCACGTACCTCAAGGTGCTCAAGGTGGCTCGCTTCCACTGCAAGCGCATCGACGTGATCACCATGCAGACGCTCGTGCTGCTCGTGGACATCCACCCCAGGTGAGGGGGCGCAGGGGGAGGGCCGCGGCGGGGAGGGGGGACTCGGTTCGGGAGGGCTCTTGGTGGGAGGGAGGGGGTCCTTGTGTCCTCCCCCCACCCCCACGACCCCCAGCGTGCGGCCTCAGGCAGGCCCCTTTGCCCCGGAGCCTCCATTCTTTTCTTTGGAAAACTCAGGTTGCGGGGAGGGACCAGGGCTGCGGTCTCGGTCTTGAGGCAGGTGCTTAGAGAACCACAAAGCAGGGCTACCAAAAACGTGCGTGACACAGTATGTATGTGTTTTGAAGTCTCCGGGTACAAAGAGTCAGAACTTTGTTGGACGGATGCTTCTTTGAGATGTTTGTGGATTTTTTTAACAGCCCGGCGGGGAGGCAGGGATCTGTGTTCACTGCTTGAGCTAGTTAAGAGGTTCTAATCAGGCCCTGAGACTGTGGCTTAGATGCTGGGGGAAGTCCCTGGAGAGCTCTTGAGGTGGGAACATGCTGCTCTTCTGGGTCTTTCCTTCCTCTGGTGTCTGGTGCTGCCTCTATCTCCAGATTCTGTGTGTGTGTGTGTGTGTGTGTGTGTGTGTGTGTGTGTGCGCGCGCGTGTGAGTCCTTGGGCTGCACCTTCCTGTGTGGATCCTTAAAGGAGCATCTGAAGGGCTCTGAGGGAACTGGAGGGGGGCTCCTCCTGTTCTTGCAAACAGCACTGCCCTGTGTCTCCCAGACTTGGAGACCAGAGACCCTTGCAGAGGGAGAGTGTCACCCACAAGGCTCCTGGGAAAAACCTGTCCACACCGCCTTCACCCTCAACTGGCCACTGTCTCAGAGAGGCAGGTCGGGCGACGGGGGCAGTTCAGGGGCAGCTACCCATTAGGAAGTCCTGCCATCCCCTGGAGCATCTCAGGGAAGGAAGGAGGAAACTCTTAGCTGAGGTGTCCTGAGCTCACTTGGCTTCCCTTATGAGAATAGGACCTAAGGAAGGAAACAGCCGGTGGTGTTTCTGAGGACTTTGCTGTTTTATATCTCTTCATCCCCCGGGAAGGACAGGCTTCCCTTCTGTCACCCAGGACCCTAAATCAGAGGGCTTTGGCTTCCAGATGGTGCAGACAGTGAGGTAGACAGAGCGCTCCCAAGGGAGGCAGCTGGGGGCAGTGAGGGAGCAGGTCTTTGGGGTATGAATGCCCCTCCCCACCAAAAGAGATGCAAGCTCGTGGCTGAGGGGGGCAGACCGCAGGCGTCAGTCGGAGCAAGGGCTCCTTCAATGTGAGCTGTTTCTGCCCACGAGCAATAGAAAGAAGAGCCTTAAACTCCACTGCGTCTGCACAGGCAAAGGCGTGCGTGTGCGTGGGCATTGTTTCGCCTCAGGATGGCCCTTCCTCCTTCCGGGCTGGGCCAAAGCTTCCAGCCACAGAGTCTTCCCAATGGAATCATGTGCAGTATTCACACCTGAATGACCAAGAGCACAAAGACTCCAGGGCCTGTGAATCCGTGCCTGTGAATGTGTGAGCCACACTCACACAGTCGCATATGCTCGTGTGTAAACTGCATGTCTAACAGACCGGTGGCCGCACGTGCACCTGTCACCGGGGACATGCGTGCACACTGACCACAGTGACCCGGGCTGACTCACGGCACGTGTCGTGGTTCAGTGTCGCTTAGGGAAATCTCCCACAGCCACAATTGCAGAGCTCGTCCCCTTGCCCTCTCCCAGGGCAGGAGGACCTCACTCCGGAAGGTGCATCCCTAAGACCTGACTGGGGCTGTTTCAGAAGGTGAGGGAGTGTTGTTGAACAACCGACACTAGAACGATTCCTATCCCAGGCCCTCCCACTGTGAGTCTAAGCAGAGAAGGCGTTGAGCCAGGAAAGGAATCCGTTCTTACTCAAACCTACAAATCCCATCCCTGCTGCCCTTCCAAGTTCCAGAACAGGAGGAGCCATGGCTCCTTTTTAGCCCATTTGGGATATGGGCCCATCTCCACTCTTGCGAATCTGTCACTGACTCCAGGCCGGCATGCTCCTTCTATTCCCCTCTGGGCGAGCCTTGACCTCTTTGAAGGCCTGAGATGCTTTCTGGAGCCCTGACTCCCAGTGCCATGGGGTCCTGCTGGGCCAAGGGATAGCACTAGTCTGCGCTGGGAAGAGGAAGGGCTTCTGGGGCAAGGATGGCCCTCGGCCAGTTCAGACAGGCCCCACTGGCCAAGGGCCGGCCTAAGGTTATGGCATAGCAGGCAGATGGGACAGCACTGTCCCTTCAGTGAACCCCACACGCCGTCAGTGCGGAGACGGGTCCCCAGAGTGAGAGGGTGGGAGACGGGCCACACAGGAGGGCTCCAGCTTCCTCGCAGCGGATCCACAGCTTCTTTCCTGGCTGCTCCAAACTCTTCCTCTGCACAGAGGAGAAACCACAGAGCTAGCTCTGTCTGATGGAGAAGGGCTGCCCCTCGAACACTCAAGCTCTAGGCACGAAGGTTCCGGAAAGATCAGCCAAGCCTCCTGGGCGGGTTTGGTGCTGACGGCCAGGAGCCCCTGGGGATGAGCCGAAGCCAGGCCTCCTTATGTGGACAGCCAGGGCAGTGGGGGGAGTCTGGGCTCCCTGGAAGTTTTCGTTGACAGCCACCACACTATGGCCTCCTGGGACTTAATTAGGAGGGACCCGATTTGAGTTCCCTGAGGCCCAGGGTGACGTTTGTCAGAAAGCTCCCTGCTGGGGCCCGTCTTCCCACAGAGTATTTAACGCTGTGAGTGGCGGGCTGGACTGCTTTGTTGCGACACCGCCAAAAGACCCTGTGTTTTCAGTTTAATCTGTCCTGAGAGACGTTCCCCACTCCTGTCTTCCTGTGGTGGTTTTTCAAGTTGTGACATTCGTAAAGCAATTAGGAATTCCTAATATTTATTACCCACCTGGCCCTCCGATCGCTCAGCTTGCTCGGTTCTATTTTCCCAAACCAGAGCTCCGGACGAGTGATGGCAGGTCCTCTCTCCGCTGTTGCCAGAGACGTGGGCTTTCACCTGAGGTGGGACCTAAGGGGGGTGCTGGGGTTCCGACGTGGCATCCCTGCTCCCCCAGTCCAGCTGAGGGCTGCTACTCACCCGGGTTGGGTCAGGGGCTTCCCCACGGGACGCTGAAGCACACTCATCCCTGTGATCGCCGTCTGGAGAGTGCTGGCTAAAGGGCCGACCCTGGAGGGCGTCCGAGCTTTGGTGTAGGAGTTGGAAGGACCCACGAGATACACTCACTGTGCCCTTGATTCTACAGGTGAGGAAATTGGGAGACCCAGGGAAGGAGGCCGAGGTCATTTGCCCAATTTAACAGATCCAGGATGTGGCTTGAGCCAAAACTTGTGCCCAGTTCTGTCCCTGAGATTTCTAGATGGGACAAAAGTGCAAATAGAGGCTCACAAACCATTTATATAAATATTTAGAAGTTCTAAATTAAGCTTACAAACTGTTAAATGAAATATGTTCTATCCTCCTACCTTGACAAGCATACATTTATAACACTCTGCAAGGCTGGGTTCAAATTTAGAATTCTCGGGCTCCTTGGAGTTCAGCCTCATCCGTGGTGGGGAGAGCTGAGCCTGCTCCAAGCACACAGCCCCTGCTTCTGCTCTCCACCCCGGCTTTCCTCAGCACCCTGAGGAGCCTCCACCCCTCAGGCTCCAAGCCGAGCACACCTGTGGCATTGTCACCCCCGGGAGGATGGGCCTGGGGAGGACGCCTGCTCACATCCTGGAAGCAGGATCACGGCATCTGGGCAGGGAATTCAGTGTTGCAGATACTTGGAGCTTGATCTAGAATGGATGGTGTGGGCTCTGGGTGGGCACATGAAGTCTTCATTTCATGGAGAGGGACGTAGTCCCCTCACTGTTCAGGACCCAGGACAGGGCCCCCTCTTGTGAGATCTGAGGACAGGACTTTTCACACTAGCGTCCTGACCCCCAGACTCAAGGTCTGCTCTACCGTCCGTCAGCCTGTTTCCTTGCCTTTTGTTTTGTTATTTTAAAAGCCAGAAAACAATCTGGATTACCCTGGGAGTACTTGGAGCATGCACTGAAGACCGATTGCGGTCATCTGGGGACCATTCAGGGCCCAGACCATTGTGCTGGGACTGGAAGATTTTGGCTGTGATTGCCTCATTTACTCACTTCAGATATTTCTGGCCTTCTCTGTTCATTCTGCCATTTATTGGCGTCTACTGGGGAACATCTCTCTGGCCCCACGTCATAGTGCCGGAAAGCCCATCTCTCTATCACAAGGAAGATGTGTCCTGTGGCAGTTCTTGGGAAGCCCCATGCCGATGCATCAGCTTGTACTCTAGGAGGACATTGCTGGCCAGGGTAATTGGGGGACCCTGGAGTGCAGGGGTGAGGGGGAACTCTCACCCCTGCACTCCAGAGTCAGCCTATAAGCCTGAGGACTCCAGCTGCTGCCCCTGTGCAACATCTGGAGAATGCGTCTGTGCGGTTGGAGCAGCTTGCTTATTTCTCTGTGGTCCTAGGGAGGACAGTGGGATTTGGGGGAAACACCCCAGACCCTGGAGCCAGGAGTCCTGGTTCTGTCCTAAGCTCTCTGTGGGACCCTGGGCGTGTCACAATCCTGGCTGGCCCCAGTTTGTAATGGTAGCTCTAGTTACAGCTATCATGAAATTCCCCTTGGATAAATGAAGAACCAGATTCAGAGAAGTTTAGTGACTTCCCCAAGGCCACGCAGCAATGAGGGCCGAGCTGCGACTAGGACATCTCTGTCAGAGCTCTTTTGTTCACTGGGGTTATTCTGAAGCATCTGAGAAATGGACAACATCGTGAAGGTCACTGATGGGACTCATCTGCAAATAAATAAAACAGCAGCTCCCAGGGCTACAAGACTTCAAGGAGCTCCGTTTTGCAGAGCTATGGTGGGGGAAAAAATGAGAGCAAGTGGAGGGTGGTTTTATTCTGTTGTTCTGGGTATAGGCAAGCTGCTCTCATACTGTGCTTCACAATAATGATAAGCAAGAAGGTTGCACGGCTGCATTGACCTCCTTCTCCTGCCATCCCCCCTGGCCTTACCTGGAAATCCGGGGAGCTCTGGGCGGGGAAGACGGATCCCTCCTCTTGCAGGAGTTCAGGAAAGCATCCATGTGCTTCCTGATCAGGAGCGCCAGACCGGCACTCAGTAACCGGGGGCTAGCTCTGCCAGCATCTCACTCTCTGGGGGAGAGCGGCGAGTTCCTCTCTTCTCAGAGCCTCATTTTCTCCATCTGTGAGCTGGGTCAAGTGGTTGAGGGGGTTTCCTGTACTGTGCATGACTATGTGAGGTCTAGGCAGTGGGGTCTAGGCAGTGTGTCTCAGAGAAGAGGTGTGACTAGATCCATGTGGATGTGACCCAGACATGGCGTCCACCTTGGACACCTGTGGCAGGCCAGGGGCCATTAAGACAGTTTCCACCGGGTTCGTGGAGGCCAGAGAGTGTCATGGGGTCAGCACTGGAGTCAGGAGTCAGGTCAGACCTCCTCTGGCACGGCCCCTCGTTGCATTTCTTTCTGTCTGTCTGTCTGTCTCTCCAACATGCACAGGGCAGAAAGAAAACTTTTGCAGTGGGAGGGAGTCCTGTGGTTTTGGAGTTCCAGAGGATGCTGGAACAGCTGAATAGATAATAATTATTGTTACTGAGGGTTTACTGAGTCACACACTGTCCTAGGTACTTTTTGGATGTTAATCTCAGTAAGGCCCTGAGATGAGGAGGCTGATGAATAGAGAGGTTGGGCAACTTGCCTAAAGCCACACAGCAATTAAGTGGTGAAGTCTGGCTTTGAACCCAGACATTGGGCTCTGGGGCCACACACTTACTACCACACTATTCACAAAAAAGGACTCCAGGTTAGTGGAAGCTTTCACGGCCTTGCTTTGTCTGGTCGGCTCAAGATTTCTAAGGCTCACTAAAAAAAAAAAAACAAAACAAAACAAAACAAAAAACCTATTTCAGAACAGGTTTCTCCCATCATCTATTTTTGAGGAGGTCACTTAAAAAAATGATTGAGACTTAATTTGCTAAGTTTTTTTAAGGGTTCATCACTTCACACCACATAGAGTGATCAGGTCTTTTCTGGATGTCAGATGCTGAGATTTGAACCGCGGGCACCCACGGAAATAACGTGTCTGCAGAGTGCTTATGATGTGATGTTTTCTGCTGGACAAAGCTTTGCAAGAACAGAGAGAATTATTCCCCATAGATTTTGACAGTGTACAGTAGTGACGTTGGTCATTCTAGCCTGTACAGTGTCCGATTTTCTTCCTTTAAGGTCACTGCAATATGTTTGTTTACCTTTCCAAAGACCTCCGAAGCTTTTACCAATATCTGTTTTTAAGTGTTCCTCGTGTCATTAAGGAAGGACTGTTGGGTGCACCAGGGAGAGGGGAGACAACTGGGTCCTCAGCAGTGAGTATAATCCCTCCTGGGGGTGCCGGAGGGAGCTTCTCACTCCTCAAGAGCTTGCTAACTGTTGAGTCATTTCTGTGCCTGCTAAATGGTAGCTCTAGTTACAGCTATCATGAAATTCCCCTTGGATAAATGAGGAACCAGATTCAGAGAAGTTTAGTGACTTCCCCAAGGCCACACAGCAATGAGGGCAGAGCTGCGACTAGGACATCTTTGTCAGAGCTCTTTTGTTCACTGGGGTTATTCTGAAGCATCTGAGAAATGGACAACATTGTGAAGGTCACCGATGGGAGGAGGGCCCGTCCCAGTGCTGACATCAGTTGTGGTGCTCAGACCTCTCTTTAGGGGATGCCTAGAGTGCTGTACGCCTTCACGGGGTGAGTGCACGTGATGGCTCAGGACACCCAGCTCGTGTCCCAAATCTCCAGCGATTCTCAAGTCAATTGCAAGAATGTTTGGGGGAAATATTTCAATATTAAGACAAAAGTGCCTGTGTTATGGGGAAGATACCAAACCCCCTGTGCCCTAGGGTGACCATTGTCCTGGTTTGCCGAGTACTGACAGGGCTCTCCGAGGACGCAGGACAGTCTCAGGCAGACCAAGATGAATCGGTTTCCTCACGGCACCCAGACCTCCTGGGTGGGGCCCTGTGCCTTCTCTCCACACCCACCCATATTGTGCAAATGTTACAAGAGCCAGAGGACGTTGGTAGAAGACTCTGCAGAGACCCAAGTATAATGGGGAGCCACGAGATTAAGACTGACTCTTGCTTGATGACCTCAGGCAAAGTCCCCCAGTCCTCCTGCCCCAGCAGCTGTATTCTTCAGGTTTTCTGGATTAGATGATGCCCTTGTGCCTCCCATGGGGTTGGTGTAGACGTCCACCAGTTGGAAGATGACGCTCAAGCCTCCAGAGTCAAATGGCCTGGGTTCAGATCCTGCCATCACCTGGGGAGACTGACTATCCTCATTTGCTCTGGGTGGAGGGGGTTTTCCATTTTAAAACTGGGCCAGTCCCATGCAAAGCATCCAGGATGCAAGACTTTCCATGCTAAAACCAGGACAGTCCTGATTCCCCAGGGCAAGTTGGTCATCCTATCACCACTACTCACCAGCTGTGTGATCTTGAACAAGTTACTTAACCCCTCTGTGCCTCATCTGCTTATCTGAAAAAAAGAAAAAAAGATAATAGTTGTATCAGTCCTCAGTGTATAGAGACGTTGTGAGCATCAGATAACCAATGCACATGAACCTCCATCAAGGCGTCTAAAATGGGACAGGTTACTCAAGAAATGTGGACTGTTATTATTATTAGTTATCAGAAATTAATTAGTAACGTGATCTAATAGTAATACTTCTTCAGCCATTGTGAAGCCTATTTGTACCAAACCAAACTCCAGTTCCCAACTCTACATTCCAAGGCAAGGGAGTAAAGTCCTACAAGAATTTCAGGGGTCTTCCGTCCAGTCTAGTGTGGAATTGTCCATCTGAGATTGGAAATACGGTGACAGAGAGTTCCGATTCAGTGTTAAAACGATGGTCCTTGTGGAAGGAAGGGGAGGTCACGCTGGCATTCATGCTGCTTGTGGTCCTGGCTTAAGCACGTCCCTCTGCTCCTTGCTTTCCCTGCACAGACTGGCTTAATGCTGGAGCCGGGGCTCTACAGCCAGGGCCTAATTCAGACAGATTATCTCCACTTCCTGGGCAGCTCTGCCCGCGGTCTTCCAACTTGTTCATTTTTGGAGGGATGGGATTTATTTAAAAAATCAACAGTAGCTTCTGGACTCCGGGAAACAAACTGAGGGTTTCAGAGGGGAGGGGTGGGGGGATGGGTGGGCCCGGTGATGGGTGTTGAGGAGGGCACGGGTTGCGTGGAGCCCTGGGTGTTATACGCAGACAATGAGTCATGGAACATGGCATCAAAAATGAATGACGTGCTGTGGGATGACTAACAAAACATAATAAAAAATTTTTTTTTCCCGAGGGGGGGACATTTAAAAAATTAAATTATATTAAATAAATACAAATAAATACAAATGCAAATAAACAGTAGATAATGTATCTGGATGGCCTTGTCCGTTAAGCGTCCACCTTCAGACTTCTTCCTGTGACCCCTAAGGCAGCGTCCCTAGCTCCAGGCAGGTCGTATCTCAGAGTCCTGGGATTGAGTCCCTCATCAGGCTCCCTGCTCAGGGAGGAACCTGCTTCTCCCTCTCCCTCTGCTGTTCCCCTTGCTTATGCTCTCTCACTCTCTCTGTCAAATAAATAAATAAAATCTTTAAAAAAATAAAAATAAAATAAATAGTAGAAATGCCTGCTCACATGGAACCCCATGGAATAGAGCTGGACTGGCCCTCGGGCTCTCTGATGGCGATAACGGACAGCTCGCTGGTGCTCATGAACTACTCTGTGGCTACAGGAAAAGGGTTGCGCAGACCACTTCTCTCAGTTGGCATGAGATGTCTGTTCTCAGACGTCCCTGGAGCCAGTGGAGTCAGGACCAGGGTGTGGTTAGAAGCTTAGGCAGCAAGTTCCTGATTCAATCCTCAAAGCTGTGACCGTGATTTCCCAGAGTCTTAGTCTCTTAGCTTCACTGATCTTGGTCCCTGAAGGAAACAAGTGACTTCTCCCTGTGACCCCCTAAGGTAGTGTCTATAGCTCCAGGCAGGTCTGAGGCTTTGGGATGGAAGACCCAGGACTGAAAGCATGGAGTAAAGGAAGGGTCCAGGTCAGCCCAGATATAAAGGACCAGCTTTGAGAAACCCGGACAAGGGTTCCAGTCCTGTCTCCATTTATCAGCTGAGGAAACCTGAGCTCATAGTTTTTGCTGTAAAACAGGGCCAGTAAAACCCATGAGGCAGGTTAAACACACCTGAATATCAGTAAATATCAGTAAAGACAAGGATGAGAGAAACTACTCAGAGAACATAGACTCTGGCGCTGGCTTATAGCAGGTGATCAGTGAATTTCACAAGTAATCATAATGAGAATTGATATTTACTTGCACTTGGGCATTGTGTTAATTGCTTTATGTGTTTTATGCATTGAAGGCATTTCGTGTGTCTGTGTGCTTTTTGCATTTAATTTTCCAAAGAGCCCTTGATGGCATTTTATTACAGTGCACATTTCATAGATGATGACCCTGAGGCTTAGCGATGTCATGCATGTGTCCAAGGTCATGACGTGTCCAAGGTCACACACCTATGGCCGGGACTTGACCTCGGGTTTCTCTGGCCCCTCCCTGAGCCCCTGCACTCAAGGCCCTGCCTGTGTTCATTAATAACAAGTCATCTTCCCCTCTCTCACGCGCAGTGTGCGGGAGCGCTGTCTGGAGGAGCAGAAAAGGAGGCGGCAGCGTGCCACCAAGAAGATCAGCACCTTCATAGGGACCTTCCTTGTATGCTTCGCACCCTACGTGATCACCAGGTGAGTCTGACCAGCAGGACTGGGCTTTGGGGAACAAAGCAGGGCCCGTGTGACCTGGAGCAGTCACTGGCCTCTCTCTCGGACACATGTTTCCAGAGGGTGGTGTGTTGGAGGTGACAGGGAGCGTGACAGGTTTGGTGAGAAGGAGGGCACATGCTTTTTCTTTTCAGCCTTCAGAACCAGAAGGGATGGGAAAGACTCTCCCCTTGATTCCCAGATCACATCATCTAACCCTGTAGCCCAAGAGCCCCGAAAGGAAAGGAAAGGAAAGGAAAGGAAAGGAAAGGAAAGGAAAGGAAAGGGGAGAATGGACAGAGGAAAACATCTTGCCTTCCCCTGAACACAGTGTGGCCCCGCCCCCCGGGCGTCCTCCACCTGGACACCCCGGTCAACAGCAGGCAGCACATGTCATCAGCACAGGGGGTGGGGAGCACGGTCCGAGTGCAGCTGGGGGGGCCTGCTTATCCAGGCACTCTGGGGACCTCCCACAGTGCAGGCGCTGTGAGCTGACCCCCTTTGCTCCTGTCCACCACCTCCCTCCCCAGCCCCGTGCTCTGAGGCGCAGCTTGCTGGCCACATGGTCCTGCATTCCAAAAGCCAGCCTGCTCTAGGTGTAGGATTTCTCTCTTGTGCTTTAACCAGACAAAAAAGTATCATCCCATCAGTCTTACACACTGGAGGGGAAGAAAAACCACAACGCTGTTTCCAGAATGGCTTCACTATTTGGGAAGTTGACAATAAAAAAGGGACTTTGATGTTTGATTAGGAAGGGGATGTTGAGCCTGGGAAGTAGGATATGTGTAGGGTGTGCAAGTGTGCGGTGTGTGTGTGCGTGAGAGAGAGAGAGAGAGATTGAAAGCGGACACAGCCCAGCATCCCAGCATCCCACAGCATCTGCAGCTGGCAGGGGGAAGGGACCCCCTGCCTCCCTGTCCCCTCGGGTGAGCTTGCATGCTTTGGGAGGAGGAGCCCACCATAGCCAGAGCTTCCTGTTCCTCCCATTCATCCTTACCCTGAGCTGACATCTGTTTCCTGTAGTTCCATCTGCTTTCTTTGGCCCAGGAGAACATCTGTCCCCTCCCCCTAAGGGCCCTGCTCCCCATGGCACCCCCATCTTTGCTCCTCTTGGAGTGTCTTCTACTGTCTGTTCACAGCTGCTTCCTCTGGGGGAAATCTCACTTTGCATGTAGGACCTGGGACAGTCTGCTGGTCTCTGGGTCAGCATAACAGAGCCGTTGGCTTCTCCTTCTCGAACTGTTGACCAGATCTCCCCACTACCGACATTTTGTATGGGATCCCCTTTGAGGTGGGGCTGCTCTGTGCATTGGAGCCTGTTAGCAGCCCTGTTTCTTCTACCTATGTCTCACCACTACTTCCCTCCTGCACCCCAGTGTTCACAGCTAGAAATGTCTTCAGACACTACACTGGGGATCAGCATCACCCCTGGGGAAAACCCTTGGTCTAGATGTGCCACATCCAGCCAGGACGCTGAGCTCGCAGGGATCAGGTTTTCCAGGGGACACAAAGCCTAGGCCAAGGCAAGTGGGCTCCTGTTGCTGTCCGAGGGTGAGGCCACAGGGTGGTGACCAGCACAGGCTCTGAAACGTGCCCACGGTGGGTTCAAACCACAGCAACACAGGTTCTTGCTATGTGACCCTGGGCCAATGACACCACCTCTCTGAGCCTCCAGTCTCCCATCAAAGTGAGCAGTGCCTGCCACTCAGGCTTGTTTTAAGGACTGAAAGTCTTTGAGCATGGAGATCATGGGCAGCACAGGCCTGGCATGGGTGACGTCTGTGCTTGGCCCTCCCTCCCTCGTACTTGGACAGGCTGGTGTGTGCAGTGAGAGGAATAAATCCAGCGAGGAAAGAGACAATGGGTGGGGAGGGCAAGCAGACAGCTCTCCTCTTAGATCCCACCGGAAAGGGGACCTGTGGGCTGATGATGGGAACTTGAACCCTCAGAGGAGAATAGGTAATGTGGCTCCAGATTTAAACTATTGGATTTTTCTCTGGCTTAATCTCATTTCCCAACAAAATTTTCCTTTTTTTCTGATTATAGCTTGGTTCCTCTAATGGTGCCCAGAAAATAACGTTTCAGTAAAATTGATGGTAGATTCACAATGCAATATGTTCCCTCCAAATGGATTTGATGCATTTGGGGTTTTTAAAAATACTCACTGAACTGCTCCTCTGTTATGGGGATGAATGGCAACTTACTAGGGAGAAAAATCTATGTCCAGCAAACCTCATACACACAAAATACGGCTCTGGTGAAGCCCCACCGCCACTGCCGACCCAGCTCCTGTCTTGACTTTCTTTTTGGGGGGATCGGTGGTGGCGGTAAATTTTAATTTTATTTTTTTAATTAAAGTATAATTAACATACAGCGTGCTATTAGTTTCAGGTGTAAAATGTAGTGATTGAACAATTCTATGCATTACTTAGGGCTCATGGAGACAAGTGTAGTCTTGATCCCCTTTATTTCACCCATCCCCCACCCACTGCTCCCAACTCGCGACCACCACTTTGTTCTCTGTATTTAAGAGTCTGGTTTTTGTTATTGTTGTGTTTCTTTCTTTGTGTCTTCTTTTGTCTTGTTTCTTCAATTTCACATACGAGTGAAGTCATGGTATTTGTCTTCCTCTCACTGACTTGTTTCACTTAGCATTACACCCTCTGGCTCCAACCATGTTGTTACCAATGACGAGATTCCATTCCGCTCGGTAATATTCTGCTGTGTGTGTGTATAGAGAGAGACCACATCTGTATCCATCATCCATCAGTGGACCCTTGGGCTGCTTCTGTATCTCGGCATTATAAATAATGCTGCTATAAACAGAAGTGTTCATATAGCTTTCCAAATTAGTGTTTTCATTTTCTTTGGGATATATCCCCAGTAGTGCAATTACTGGATCGCACAGTAATTCTAGTTTTAATTTTTTGAGGAACCTCCACACTGTTTTCCATACCAGCTGTACCAATTTGCATTCCGACCGATGGGGCACGAGGGGTCCTGTTACTCCACATCCTCGCTGGCACTCTTTACTTCCTGTGGTTTTAGTTCTGGCCGTTCTGACTGGTGTGAGGTGGTATCTCACTGAGGTTTTGATTTGTATTTCCTTGGTGATGAGTAATGTCGAGCATCTTCTGGAGTGTCTGTGGCCCATCTCTCCATCTTCTTTGGAGAAATGCCTATTCAGGTCCTCTGCCCATCTTTCAATTGGACTATTTGTTCTTTTTGTGTTGAGTTGCATAAGTTCTTTACATATTTTGAAGATGAACGCCTTTTCGGATATGTCATTTACGAATATCTTCTCCCATTCCGTAGGTTGCCTTGTCACTTTGTTGATGGTTTCCTTCGCTGTGCAGAAGCTTTTTATTTTGGTGTAGTTCCAATAGTTTAATTTTGCTTTTGTTTCCCTTGCCTGAGGAGACAGATCTAGAAAAGTGTTTTTACTGCTGATGTCAGAGGAATTACTGCCTGTGTTTTCTTTTAGAAGTTTCATGGCTTCAGGTCTGACATTTAGGTCTGTAATCCATTTTGAGTTTATTTTTGTGGGCGGTGTAAGAAAGTGGTCCAGTTTCATTCTTTTGCATATGACCATCCAGTTTTCCCAACACCCTTTATTGAAGAGACTTTCCTTCTCCAACTGCCATCAGCCATCAGGCTCCTGTCTTGGGTTTCTTGTGTGAACAAAAGAACCATCCTAAGCAAACCTCACAAAATATGCAAACATACCCTCGTTTCATTTCAGCACACATTTCTCCATTACCCTCTCTGTGCAAAGCATGAAAAAGACCCTGCAGAGGAGGCCTGGATTGGTGAGGTTCTACAGGAGACCCACTCTGCGGGGACACTGACCTCACAGATATGGCCCTCGCACCCAGACAGAACACTGTGTCATGTTATCCGATAGGGACAGGGTCCAATGGTTCTGAGGCAGGAACGAGCTCTCCTGCCTGAAGCTTTCTGGACCAGCCTTGTGAAGTGGGTTTGACTATGCCAGAGGGACAATCCAAGCAGAAGGGACAGCATGAGCCAGATTTAGAGCCCTGTGTGGGGTTCACCAATCACGGGTTCCTTTAGAGCCCTTGAACATGGCCTGTCTGATTTGAGACGCACTGTAGGTATATAATGCACATTAGGTTTCTGCGGCTTAGCATGACTGTGTGTGTGTGTGTGTGTGTGTGTGTGTGTGTGTATACACACACACAGACACTTCTTATATTGATTCCATAGGGAATGGTGATATCTTGGATTAAATAAACTATACGAATAAAATTATTTTCACCTGCATCTTGCTACACCTGTGGCTTCCCTGTTCTTCCTATTGAACAGTGCTGGTCTGTAGGCAGAGAGGTCTGGGGTATGAGGTGTGCTGATGCCCTTCCTCCCAGCACCCTCTTGCCCTTGACCTCTAGCTGCTCGTGTCACCTGTCCTTCACTCCCCTGGGACCCCCGTTCCTGCTGAGTTGCAAGAGTGATGAGGGCTCTCCGCCTCACTTCCTTCCCTGTCCAGTGTCCTGCTCGATGTCAGAGTTTACCGGGAGCGCACATGGAGTGGCCAACTCACTGTCTGCCTCCCCCACGTCAGGTGCACCAGGCAGGGGTTCTTGGACAGCCTGAATGGGGGAACAGAGGCCCCAACAAGGGTGGCAAGGAGGGAAGTTTGTGGCTGACATCTAGTTAGTGAGATTAGACCAAAATTAGACTGAAATTAGACCCCTCTTGGAACCACCTGCTCCATTCACACCCCTCCTACGACTGGAGGAGAAGAGATGCTGATGAGGTGCACCGTGCTTATGGTGATGGGCAGCCCCAGGCCCACCACAGGGAGACGGGAGTTCTGTGGGCTCTGGCCATGTGCTGGGCATGGCCCCGGGTCCCAGCAGGACCACACTTCCACGACTGGGGCGTCCACACCGCCAAATGGGGTGGGGTGGGGCAGGATTTGCTCTCACACTCACCTCCAGAGACCCTGCCGCCACCTCTCCTGT